AGATAGATAGATAGATAGATGCTTACACACACAGCCGTAAACGCTACCACCCTAAACCTTTAGGTTTAAGCTTTCAGTCAAGCCCTAAGCCACTTTAGCCCTAAGCCTGAGCCCCAAAGCCCTAGGCCCTGAGCCCTTGCTCGCCCTGGTCCTTTCGTTTTACCACCACTGTCGTCTTGTCTTGGCTCTATGAGAAACTCATACAAACCTGGCTCCCGCCTTTTCTTGATTACCTTTCAATTGGGGCCGGAAACCGCAAAATTCCGGTGTCGGGGAGTTCTACTTCCAATATTAGGGGAGGCTGTGCTATCAGGAGGAAGCGATTATCATGGCCTATCATGTGATAGATGCTCAGATTTGCAAGCTGTTCCCCATTGTCTTCCAAAATCACGTGGCGCTGGAATAGTTAGTTGGGGGTCCCCGTGCAGGGCCAGTCCCTTGTGTTCGGGCCGTGGGCGTTCATCGACATCGTGTTTGACAGTGCTTCATCCCATTCATCCCAAAAGGACTGCAGTCAGTCACGTCATGAAGGCATGGACTCCGTTGCAGGCGCCGACCTACACTTCACAGCTAATCACCTATCGTGAGATTCGTCCCAGAGCAGGAGGTGATCATTGACTGAGAAGTGTCCACACCAAGAACAGCAGAAAACACAAAAGACACCGTGTTCAAGCTGGGGTGCTCTTTCAGCTGCTGCACTGCAGTTCTCAGCGCGGCGACCTGCGAGGGAGCTAGTTCGTGCTGATGAACCCATCCCCACAAAGTCGGAAAGCAGAAGCTGCCTCTGGTTCGTGCTGGCGCAGCCTCGTGAGGGCATCGCGCTCCTTACTGTAACACGGCAAGATGAAGCTGTCGCACTCTGTTGGGAGACAATCCGGAACAGTCCTCGCTGGACAAGGGGTCTGAAATCAAGGCCGCAGTGTCCTGGCACGAGTGAGGGCGACACAAGCGAGCTGCATAAACCAAACTTAAAGCATTTTCACCACAGCAGACGCAAATGGCTTTCGTCACTTGATCCCGTGTCCAGGTCTTCTGGTGCCGAGTTTTCGTCTGCTCGGACCTGTCATGTGAGACTTGCGGGCCTTGGTCTGGAACGCAAATGCCCTGGCGAGCCTTGGTCTCCTCATTCTCCTCCACTACTTCTGCCTTCTCGACCTCGGGCTCCTCTTGCGAGGGCTCCTCAATCGTCTCCGCCTGCGGTGCTGCGGGCTCCTCGAGCTCTTTTGACTCCGTCGGTGCAGGCACTTCCTCCTTCGCCGGCTCCTGCTGTCAACAAGGAGCCTCATCCTCAAGCTGATTGGCCTTCGCCCGCCTTGTCATTCGAGTCGCTCGCTGCCTTCTCGGCTTTTGCTTTCGCAGCTTTGTTGCGTCTCGTCATGGCTTTCATCCCACGAAGACCAAGGGAGCGTTTGGCAACTTCTGTTAGAATGCGACTGTCAAGATGCTTTAATAGTGGAGGCCTCTTATGCTCATGTTCTGCTTTTGTGACAAACCTCTACTTCAGCGGTGCAGGGCTTGGAAGCTGGCCCAGGTTCGATCAGTATGGCAACTCGAGAAGCCGACTGAACTACGTGAAAGCAAGCGTGTCTCAGAGTGGAACCACATGCGCGAGCACGACAGTGAATTCAATCCCACAATGCAGCTGGCTGCGCAAACCGCAACCCGAGAGCTTTGGACTGTGAACAACTTGCGCAGTCTAATCTCTGAGCGGTCTATATCTGCTTTCAACCCAAGCATCCGGTGCCTCTCTGTGCCAACACTTAGGGGTTGGCCCCGGCGTGTAGCTTGGGCTTGTGGCAGTGCCAGAGCATTCTGTGACTGCGACAAAGTCTGCGCGAGAGGCGCCAGCTTGCAAGCGAGTCTGCGAAAGTTGTGCATGGGAAAGTTCAGCCCTCACACTGTACTACTGCTTCAACCCCAACTGACTCGTGCATGCATTCTAGATTCTAGATGCAGTCATACTTATCCCATGCATAACAAAACCTAACGAGCACAGATGATCTACCGGAGCAGCACGGCGAACGGCTGCGCGACAACCATCATATACCATCATCCCAGACAGAAAGCTCAGCAGCTCAGGTGCCTCATCTTCACGAGTCTTCACGACATTTCTCGCTTGATTGCAAGTTTTGATGGACTGGGATGAAGGTCTCAGTGCTCGAATTCGTAGCACAAAACCGTGGACACCTGGCCATCAAAACATGCAGGACGCACTTTCAGACTTCTGCAGCAAGTTTGCTGTTTCTCCGCGATCGAGGCACAAGGACCAGTGCAAGCCCGTTGAATTTGAACTTGAATTGCCAGTGACACCTTGTTGTAGAGCCTAGTCCAAGCTGTTGACGTCTGCCTACGTCTGTACAACTCGCAGCGCAAGAGAGTGCCAGAAAACGGGGGCGCTGCCTGCAGGTTTGGGCGAGGTCTGTCTGGAGCCCACTGCGCTGCACGAACACAACACAGCTCGGAAGCCACGGACTTGCAAGCCCAGACCGGGTTGAGATCCGACTATCGGCAACGGTGTCGTCCTTCCTTTGCTGCTGCAGTGGCTGGTCCTGAAACTGGTCGGTGGGGTCTTCAGACATCTGACTCCATCCATGCCTGAATGCAGCTTTTCACGTCCAGCTCACTCCGGGGAACCTGTATCTTCAGAGTCGGAGCATTCCTGGCCCGCTCAGCGTCTGAAAGAAACTCCAAATTGTCGTAGATTCTCGTCGATGGAATTTCAGCGGATGCAGCAATCGCTCGCGGAGGCAATGGATAGTCTCCTCCTGCCCCAGCATACCTGCACGCTAGCGATCCGAGAACATCCGCATTTATGTCCTTGGCAGTGGCTGTGTATTTAAACCTTCTGCTGTCGACAAGACCAATGGGAGAGTCGGGGAACCCAGCCAGCACAGGAGGCCAAGTGTCATAGAGCGCTTTGTGAGAAAGCTCGTGCACTGAAGTGTCTTCGCAGTAGCTCACAAGCCGGCTCAATGCCAGGCGACATGACCTGGTGCGCTGCATGCTTTTGCAACCCTGTAGAACTATGCATTCCATGCGGCCCCTGCCTTTTCCTCTGAATCCACCAAGTGTAGGCGCCAGAGCTTGCATCTGCAAAACACTTGATTTGGTGGCCCTCCTTGATCAGGAAGTCTGACAGGGCGAAGAGCCACCTGTGACGAAGGCACTTGCCTGGCCCTCTGCACAACACAAAGGCGGAAAAGTCGCGAAGTCGCCTCTGATCTTCCATGGGGTCGGGGCCCGGTGTCAGTAGCTGCACGCCACCCAGCATCATCACGCCACCCGAGCGCAGGAAGTTCTCGTAGATCATCTGCCCAAGGGCTGCTGGCTGCGTCTCAACTTCAGGCGTCAGACCCGCAGAAGCAACACGAACTTCCAGCACAGGAACGAACCCTTGCTCCAAAGTCATGTCAAGATCATTGGAGTGACGAGCACTGCACGTGCTCCTGCAGTTCCTGTTCCAAGTTCTTTGCAACTTCCAGGGCCTCCAAAGTGCCGACCGGATCCGCCAACCAGATCCATGTTACCCAAGAAACGATGAGGTCGAATGTCCGGCCTCGAAGACATGGACAGCTCACGAGGTCCTGGGCACAGAGCTGAGTACGGAGACAGCTAGGGTAGAGCTGGTGGAGCCGGCTCCAGTAGCTTTGCTCTTCCTCTGAGCGGCATCGATGTTCCAGACGACATAGGAAGCTTCAGAGTCTGCACCCGCAGCATTTCGCAGATCAAAAGGCTCAGTGCCGGCCAGCACCTGCAAGTACCGTCGAAGCTGCGACGAGTGCAACAGACAATCGACTCAATCGACAATCAATCGGAGCACACCAACAGCTGTTTCGAAGTGCACCCATCAAAAGCCGTCAACATCCAATTGCCAGCCAACGCAGGTCTGTTTGCTGACTCGCCTGCCTCAACACCACGTGAATCCTCGCGAAAAGGAACATCGAAAGCTGATTCTGCCAGCATGTGCTCTAGTCCTCAGCCGTCACTCCCACGATGTTCTCCCAGCTGAGGCCGAAGTGCGCGTGCAGAGCAAAGAGCGATTGGCCGTCTCCGCAGCCCAAATCCTTGGAGAGAGTCCAACAGACTGTCGAGCTTTGATGTCTACCACCGAAGCGCCGTCAAGCTTCCAGGACTGTGAAGCAATCCTGGGTGCCATGCAGGCTCTTCTGAACCTCTTACCAAAGAGATACCGATTGCTACCATCCAGCCATGCCGCTCGCTTGTCCACAGGTGCTAGTGTCTCGACGAGATCACGAAGACCAAAGATGCGCTCCTTCTCTTGCCAGGACATAGCTCATTTCGGCACGTGGCCGCATGACCCATGCAAGCCGCGGATCCCGCTTCGTGATGTTCTCCGCACAGTCCCACACGAAGCCAGAAAGTTCGTAGTCCTTGGTGAAGGGTATGGAAGTGGTGGCCAGCGCCATCAAAGAAAAGAGAGCTTGAGGACTCACGACGTGGCCAGAGGCACGATCAGATCCTCTTTGGCGAAGACTCTTTTGTCGCGTGCACTAGGCGGCCGAAGCTTCGAGGGAGCCCACGGCCCCGTACTTCTTCTCTCGGCCTCTCCGTACGTTCTGTGACTCGGAGCTTTAGCACACAGGGCCGGGCCTGCAGTCTCCTGCTCTGCGAATTTCGCTGCGATCGCGGAGCGAAGTTGTTCAGGTCGCTTTCCGACGAGCTCGCCCGTGTCTTCCCAAAGCATGGTGCGCTCTGGAAAGCAACAGTGGGGCTATGGACCGAAAAGTGCTGTGTGAGGAAACTGACAACTGTAAGTTTCAGCATCTTTCAGCAAAGTCCACAGTTCCACAGCAAAAGACAGGTCATCGACAGCCGCACAGGCAGGGTTCGCATTAGCAAAATTCAAAAACTACAATGCAAGAGTGTGCGAATTCTTCAGTTTCGGGACCTGCCTCAGTCGAGGCATCAAGCATCCTGCCATTTCGCGATGCAGTTGGAGCTGCTGACCTTGCACCGTAGAAAAATTCGTGACCCTGACGAAAATCCATGCGAGTGGCACAACTGCACTTTGTCCAAGAGGCGACAGAAAATTGGTCATCGCCTATGTCCAGGTCGACCTGCGTGGTACTCGCGGCCCCAGCAGAAGTACTCCATGATCGCACGAATCGAAGAAGGCAAGGTTTTTAATTTGAAATGCACTGCAAGGTCCACCGAGACCGCAAGCCATAGGATTATGGTCGCGGGTGGTGGGCGCTTGATTTGGCACAGGAGTCGCTTCGCCCCACCCTAGGTATGAGATTTGCAGAGCCCCTGCTTAGTTTGCTTCTTCCTCTAGTTCACACGTTTGAGCTTTCCCCGCAACAGATATCCTTCCGTGGTTTCTTGCTTCTGGTGACCCTACGTAGTTCATAATCATCACGCGATCACCAACTGCTGCGAGCCATGCATGTTTCTTCCGACCTCGTCCCCGTAGCGAAAGCGGACCATGTCGCCTACCTGTAACAGGTTCATCGTCAACCCGATGATGCCCAGGTATTCTACATTACTGTACCAGCAACTTGGAACAGATCTTGAAAGACATCGAACCCTGTCTTGCTGGTTCCGCCTGCACCGGCGAGGGCTGCTCGTCCCCTGGCCGGAACTGCTTTCACTACTTCCCGTTTGCCAGTTGTCCCATCATTTCCCCACGATTTCGCACTACAGCCCTGTCGACTACCTGCATCCGTAGTTGAACAGGAAGGCAGCGAACAGTTTCACGACACTGCGAATTTGGCTCATGAGCATCCTCTCTGCACGAGTACTCGGTGCCGGTCCGTTGGCCAGAACGATGCCAGGGCCGACAGCAATCACCTGAAGCTATCATCGCTGGTACCATGCGGAAGCGAACGCAAGCATATGCAAGCATGTTGGGCCATGGGATGCAAAGGTCTTCTGAAGTCCTGGCCTTGCCCGCGGTCGTGGTCTGTTTGGAGGCCTCCTTCGACAGGAGCAAGCCGAAAGAGGTCTCCTCGTGACGGGTGGAGTGCAGAATGCCGGTGCAGATCGCAGACCAACTGCCGCAGTTGCCCGTGGGACTCTTGCAGGGGGTGTACAAGGACTTGGGAATGGATGCCTTCTTGCAAACCGTTCCTGCCTCCTCTTTCGCCAACAACTTCACTAGAACCTGCCCGGACGCTCGCTGCAAGTGCAACGTGGCCAAACGCACGGCTCGGAGCCTTGCCCCGAGGCATGGAGACCTGCTCCAGCGAAGGCTCGTCGCCTGAAATCGCTAGCAGCCGCTCTGCGGGCGTTTGCAGCTAACGTCCCGAGTCTCTTTTGTCCCGGTCCTTCGTACTTCAGGAGAACGTCATCCTCTCTGACCTGGGCCGCTTGGCGTCCGGGCCACTCGGAGGGACTTAAGACTTAAGATCGCGGCGAGGACATGATCCTCCCCACTGCACTCGATGGTTTCGGATGCACCATACCTCCGAGCCAGCACGAAAAGGTCCGAGCAAAGCTGAGGCAGTCATGTCCTACAAGACCTCCAGGAATGAACAGGGGCCACAGCGGCATCCCAGCTGAACTCCTTTCCTTCGCTCAGGCCGCAGCTTGCTGTACAGAACCTCGCACCGCTTTTCGCACATTTCTCTTCACAACTTCGCTGGCTGCTTCATCTGACTCAACAATGCACAACTCTTAGCCACCCTCCTCTGACTCTAGATTGCCTTCATTTCCAAACAGACGGGCCTTCTCACCCACCTTGACAGACATTGGAACCATCACGCCCGACTCGGCTATGGCCTGTTGGAGATGCCCTCTTCGCTGGCTGCATACTGTGCCCCTCGTGGCACAAAGCTGCAAGAACTGCTTGGAAGTGACAAACTGCATCCCTCGGAAGTGCACATGACTGGTCTTCAGGCCTCTCCGGGGCCAACTGCCACTACTTCGCCCTCCTCAAGGCGGGTTCGGATTGCAAAGCTGCCGCTGTCCAAGACTCCCAGGACAGCTAGTGCCAATAAGCGAGAAAAAGACTAGTAACAGCGTGAATCCCTGCAAGAAGATGTATCGCTCTTCTTGAAGCCGACTCATCAACACACAGATCACTTGATGCTGCTCCTTAGGCTTCTCGCTCTTCGGCAGCAGCAGGCCCCCCTGCAGGAGATCTGGATTTTGCTTCAGGTTTCAAGTACCCGCTAACGCCCTCCAGATCACCTAAGGCAAGTAGTCGGGCCGCAGGCGCGGCCGGCAGACATGATCACGTTGGAACACACCTCATACTCTGGACCTTCTTACGAGCGGCTTCTCCCAACTTGGCTTACTTTGTGTTGTCGGTCCGCATAGGTCTCACGACGCAGGGACAGCAGTCGAGCAAACAAGTGCTACAGCGCTGGTTTAAGAAGCAAAAGCTCTGAATCGTTGGGCACTTGTCGGGACTTGTCAGCCGGGTCTCCGACCCAGCAACGAGCTTACGAATCCGTGGAATTGCCGCCGGCGGACCCTAACCTCAACCTCAATGCACTCGGCCTTGCTTCGGAACCCTGTAATGGATGCACAGGAAGGACGGATAGTACAGGATGCTTGATATCTGTGACATCCGGTAACGCCATAACGGTTGGCCATGATTGGCCTTGGTCATCTCCTCCGCCTTCGCAGACTTCAGAAGCAGGAACTTTCCCAAGGGCTTCACTGCCCCATCCACCTGCCACAACGGTCTGAAGAGCATGCTTCTCCTGAAGCCCAAGTCCACGCCTTCAGCGACACCGCTTGGCGGCAGATGTATGAACCTGGAACAGGATGTTCGTTGCAGCATCACTCGATGACTATTCAATAGATTTCAGACTGTGCATCACACAGCCAAGTATGACTTCAGGAGGCTACGGCTAAGCTGAGACCAGCAACACTGCGGGGAAACTGCTCACCATCACGCCCCGCCCTCAATCCTGGTGAGGAGTGCTAGGGAACACTCACAAGGCTGACATGGCCATCTTGGCAGCCCAGGATCCTCTACTCATTCTGCTTCCATTTTCGCCTCTTGACGGCTCGGCTCGGCCGCGGCCCGGCTGGCGCCCTGGCAGAGTTTGCCGCTTAACACAAGGCTTCCGGATGAATCGGATGCCTGCAACAGTCGGACTGCCACAGAACGTCAGCGATCGGAGCGCCAGTCCTCAGTGTTTCTGCACGCACACACGGACAGTCACGCACAGTCCGGCTTAGCGCTGCAGCTCCGATAGCAGATCAATTCCGACAGCCAATGGGTGCTACATACATCATCGTACGCAGTCACTGAGCAGCATACCGCTTAGCAGTATGGCCACGACCGCCAACCTGTTTGGGCATGACAGCACAGCACTCACAGCACTGTCAAAGCTCGCTCGCATGTTCGCATGCCTGCAGGCAGGTTATGAACAGGTCCTGGCCAACTTAGTTCGGCAAAACTGTGGCAAGTTCCAGCAAGATCAGTTCGGTTTACCCCACGTGATGTTCATCAATGGCACCAAAGCATTTAGAGCCAAGGCAGTACCGTCACAGCCTCCTCGCAGAGCGAGTCGCACGCATTGCCATTGCTCGAGGGATCCGCCGAGAAATCCTAAAATCTGTGACTGATGGGTTGCTAGCTCAAGCGCATGCGTCTCGCAAATTCATGGCAGTTAGCAGCTTTCTCCCTTAGAAGGCCCCTCATACTCCACCGACGTTGGTTCCTTCATGCACAAGACCCGTCTGCATAGGATGGACAAGAGAAAGGTGAAAGCGACCACGGAACGAAAAGCATCCAATGTGGCTGCAGGGTGCACTCGCTAAATGGACTACTCTCTTGCAGCACCTTGCTGTTGCGTTGTTGCCTTATTGCCGTTCTCGTCGTTGGAACGATCCGCGCTCACAAATCCAAACCCTATCAGGCTGGGTTTTCGAGCTTTCCTGCCATTTGCTTCTCAGAGTCGGAGACGGCACAGCGGCTGTGACAGGTGCGAAGCTCGCCTTCAGCGAGGGCCATGCGGCACCTGTGCCTAAGCTATGGCCGCAATGCGCAGGCGTCTGCCTCTTTCGAGGGGCCTGAGCATAATTACACTCCTTCTAATGAACACGCAGCAATCTCAGAGGCGTCCCGAGGAAAAGTTGAACCGCCCTTTCCCTCATTCTGGAAATGGCAGCTGAGTCTCGCTCCTTCTTGCTCTCGACACGCTTACACTATGCTGCTAGAAATTAGCACATGGCACATGTCCCTCGCTTCTCGTGTAGGACCACTGCAACCACTGCAGCCGAAGAAGAGAGCCCTTGCTGCAATTAGAGCCTTGATTGGCGGCACTGGGTGCGCTACCCAGGGTGAGACAGCTCACCTGACCTAGCGGGACCTAGTGGATCCGGGCTTTGCCATGCTCCTTCTGAGCGGTCTCCGGCCTCGCAGCCACTCCGAAAGTCCATCGTTTGCCTGCTTGGGCTTTGGCGATCCCACAACTCTTGCATGCCGGACTGGAGGACTTGAGGATGCAAAGGTTCAGGTTCATGAGCTCGCACGAGTACACCAGAGGCAAGCAACGAGAGACCATGAGAGACCGTTTCAGCTTTCAGCTCTTTGCAAAACTGACGTGGTGGGTGTGCTCACGATGCAAATGGTCTTCATGCATAGTTTGCCGAACATGAGCACTTTACGTCCTTGCACCTCTTAGTGCAACTTCCAATCGTACCCTGCTCGCTGCCTCTTTGGACCGCCAGGTGCGATGTCTCAGCTGCTCTGCCAATTCTCAGGCATCGCCTGTCTCCAGCACATCGTGCTCGTTGATGTGAGCCGAGAAGTCCTCGGGTGTCGGCACATCGACCAAGGGGTGGCGAAGCTAAGTGTACCAAACCCCTGGCTGCCATCTGTTCGGCCGAGAATCCTCCACCCTGTACGCGTCCCAGAAGGTTGAGCTATCTTCCTCCAGACGCGATTCTGGCTGCTTCGACCTGGGCTCTTCCCGGCAAGCCCGCCTCCAGAGATGATGGGACAGGCAGGTCATCGTCTCTGTCGAGCGATAGCATGGATGAAACCCACTTTGCCTGAGCAAACCGGCAAGGTGATAGCAACAGCGGGTGCTTTGTGGCCAATCTCAATTGCAATGCTCGTTGCCTTTATAATCTTTCTCAGCTTTGGCGTTGGCCTCTCGCGCAGCAATCTCAGAGCCTCCTGCGCGTGCATGTCGAAGAACCGTGATACGATGGATGCAGCAGCCCTCCATTCCCATCCGTCAACAAGTCCTGAGCCTCTGCGACAGGATGCCACAGCTTTTCCTGAGCAGATCTGCTGGCAGCAGGTGTTGCTTTTCCTGTTTGCCACACTCGATCTGACTGGTTTCTGAAGATAAGAAAGAAGGCCGCAGATCAACAATCAAGCGAAGCTTCCACGGATCCAAGTTCGTCAACCAGAACAGAAACGATTGCAAACTAAGAGGTGAAGCAAGAGGCGTCCAAGAGCTCTTGCAGCAGGTTGATCGCCTTCGTCGCGCCGCGCAGTCACATGACTGGAAGATCCCTTCGCGATTTACATTGGGGCAAGCCGAGGACTTTTTCAAACTGAACCATACACCCTATTGTCCAGCGGAGATGCAAGATGATAGAAGTAAAAAAAGGCCTACCTGGAACACTTGCTGCCAGAGACATGGCGTGCTTGCCGAGCAACCTCCCGGTGCTGCAACCGCACGCCCAGATCATAGAGAAAACCTCAAGACACTGTACGCAGTACACAGCGCGCCGGCTCTATTTCTGAATGTTTCTCGTCTCGGACGATCTCGACAGCTTCGTCTGGATGCAAACCGCAAGTCCTTGCAGGTCTTCCTGAAGTCAGGCCACCGATGCAAATCTGCTTGGTCTCGGAGATTTCCCGGCGCATGACGACCTGTTTGACAGCCGCGAAGGTCTCCGCAGAGGGCGCCTCACAAAGCGAGCGTTGCTGTTCCTTGAAGGCAAAGCTTTCGTGGCCACATCCTTGTAGATCTCTGAAAGGGTTAAAAGATTCTTGCCGACTGCGTGAGCCTCCGGCTCGTGCTTCTGATTTTCCCCCAAGCGCGCATACCTCCGAGGGCCAAGTTCGGAATTCTCATCGCACGCGCACTGTGTCATGCAAGTACATCTGCGTCTGCATGGTTTCTATCTTGGTTTTGACAGGAGGCAATGCTGCCATTGAATTGTCAATTTCCCAGGTAGGCATCCCGTGAATCTTCAACAGCAGCTTCGCGGCAACGAATTGGATATGCGGCTCCTGTGCACAGCCCTGACATGCCCACACACCGCCCCAAGGCCCCAAGGCAAAGCCTACTCGAGACATGCTCACGAACGGGACCTGGTGCTCCAAAGCCGCAGCGACAGCTCGCACATCGTCCGGCAAGGCCAGTAGTGAGGCTTCGGCCACCTGCAAGAGCATCCGAGACTTTCGTGCGGCACTTCGTGCTAAGGTCCGTGAACAAAATTTGGGGAGTTTTCGTCTCAGTGACCGAAACCTCCACATCGCCCTGGGCACTCAGTTGCCGCAGCTCGTCCACAACATCGGAGCCAACCTGAGCACTGAAGTGAGGTGAACCTCAGAAACCTTCTTCGTGCCGCGCCAGCTTGCAGGCCTTGAGCCGAGATTCCGCATTCAGCAAGGCTCTGGGTGCGCTTCTTCGTACCCAGCCATCCGCGTGCGAGAGGCATGATCTCAAGGTTGCGATGACTTGCGCGTTGCCTTTGCCCACCTCGATGGTGAAACGTTCGAAGCAGAATGGTCAGTCGATACAATGTCACAGCGCCAGAGTGACTTGAGTCTATAATGGCAAAACTTGTCTTTGCTGCAAGCGACACACACACACACACAACAGGACGTCGAAGATTTAAAAACACATCTCCTAGAGTCTTGCATGCAGAGGTGCCTGGCCCAGCGCAGTGACGGCTTCCTGTGCCACCGCTGGTGCTTCAGAATGGAGAAGATTTGTAAGCTCGGCCATGACGACTTCGTCGTTGAACGACCGCCGACCCAGCCTGAGTCAGAGGAAGACTGCGATGTTCTCGCGATGATATCGGGCGTGTGGCTGCGACTGTTGCATGAGTTTGGGAGTGGTCTCTGCACAGCGACGAGAGACACGGTAATAGCTGCGATCTTCACTTCATCCCAATGATGCTGCAAGAGCGGCAGCGTTTTCTCCTTGCATCCCCAAGACGGGCCCCAAGAAAATGAATGCTTGAAAGCAATGAGGAGGATTGCATCTGTGAAACTCGGGACGAAGCAATTACTGAGCAAAGTCGGTGCTGCAGGCATTAACTTGGCAATAAGATCTCATCTTGGGACAGACTTGCTCTGACTTGCTACCTGCATGCACGCAATGACACGAAACATGGGAGGCAATGCTAAAAAAATGAAGACCACGAAAGCCTTTGATTGGACACTGCGGACAAGGGTCCACCACACTTTCGTTTGCACACGCACTCAGCAGCTCAATAGCCGCTCGCCGTACAGAGGCAGGGTTTGGCATCCGGCCCCGTGTAGCGAAGCGGCTGCCGCCTGGTATCGAGAGGGAATGCTTCAGCCTGCTTCAGCCTATGCCTACATAATGAGCCGACATAGTATCAGCAGTACACGGCAATACACCGAGGCTCCGATTTTGAAGCGAAATCGAGGGTCTGTCTGACCCGCGTGTGAAAGGAGAGAGACCAACCTCAGACTGCACTCCGGCTGAGCCTGACTCAGCCCGAAGGGATAGATGTAGATGCAACGGGGTGGGTTCAGGTCCCATTGTGCAGAGGAGCTCATCCACCACGCTCTCGGGAAGCTCCAGCCTGCAAGGAAGGCCGAGTGTAGGCAAGCACGGGCACACCTCAACATGGAGTGGCTACTTGTACCCCGAAGGTTTTCAACCGGATTCTGGACTCGAAAGCCAAACAATGCAACTTTCCTGAAAGTCTCAAAGAGAGTCTTAAACGCATCTTACAACCTCAAGAGCCTTGCAAGCGACGGAAAAGCTCTGTTGACTGTGAGATTTGTAGTATCTGACCGTCTGACCATGGCCATGGAGTTTCAATGGAAGCTTTGTGCTGTTGGGGCCGCAGCTCGTCCCAGGCAGATAAAGTTGTAGCGGGCATTGCCGCTGAACTACATGGCAGGTGGATAGAGCAGTTGGTACAAAAGCTGAGCAACAGATGAACCGGACTTGGCTTGTGGGTTCCCCGAGGTTCTGTCCGTCGATGTAGCAGCAAGCGTAGATCAAAGGCTGCTATGTCTTGCCAGACCGGTGACATCATGTGACTGGCCAAGAATGTTGTTGATCATGGCCTCGTCTCTTCAAAGCTGCACATTTGCTGGGCCACGGCAGGAACTGTCGTCTCCCAATGGTCGTGCGGATCGTTAACCTTGTTGTGTTCCGGAATCTGCTGATTTCTGCTTGTCTACTTTCATTGGGCACTATCTTTTTATCAGGCGCATGGCTTGAGACGCCGACCATGCCGAAACGGCCAATCTGAAGGGGAACCATCAGGACCTCGAGGGATTATGATCGGCTGAATCTGCTGTGTGTGTGGGGCTAGTGCAGGTCTACACTTCGGTGTACATGACCCGATTTCCTGCAGTCTCAGGCGCGCTGCACAACTTGACGAAGTGTTGCACCAGCTTTCGCGCTGTCTGCGGACAAGCCCAGCCCACGTGGCCCAGTGAAGACAGCACGACCCTTCGTGCCAAGATCCGCCGATCAGCAAGTTCGTACCTCAGGGCATCCGACTCGCGCCGATTCTCTCGCAACGGGCAGCCAATCAGTCTTGCTTTGTCTTCTCATCTCAAGCTCTTTTTTATGTATCTATCTGCTCTTTGCTCTTCTCGGATTTCGGAGCTTCCCCGTTTTAACTCCACTAGATTTCCGGCAGCTGAGGCTGAGGTGCTTGAGGTCCAGAGCCTTCTTCAGCACTGCCAGGGCATCCTCGTCGCCCGGAGGGGAGAGGCGCCCCAGGATCTCCACTGCGGGCAGAACCTGTGGAAAATGACCCTTCAAGTAGCATGAGTGGGTCTGATCCGTCTCTGCGGAACTTTGCATAGAAATTTTTCAGCAGCCTGCCACTTCTCGATCCTGTAGTAGTCCTCGTAGTGGTCGTACTTTCCCAGTTTGGTCTTCGGGAGGGGTGAGAACAAGCTCTGCCACGACTCGGCTACATGCATTAAGCTACGCTACGGTCCTCGATAGGCACGTGCTGCACGAGTCCATCAACGGCCAATCGCAGCTTCTTGCGCAATTGCCCTTTCTCGATCGGGACGTTGAGGAGCCCGTCAATCACCTACAGTTTTCATAGTTTTGGACACTGATCACACCACCTAGGGATGCTGAACGTGCAGGAAGATGTTTTCATGGAAAACATGCTCGGTTGCACATGCGACATCTTGGGGTATTTTGGAGCCAAGCGCAGACGAGCTTCAAGATCACGAATTTGCCGAGAGGGGCTCTTCAGGCACCTTGCTCCAGAGCGGACTCGCACACACTTCCCCGTCCTCTCCACCCCCTCCACGCCTGATCAGCGCATCTACAGCATTCTCTTGACCGCTCTGCGCGAAGCTGCTGATGGCCTTGGCAGCCTCTTCCCAGGCGGAACTGGAACATGCAGGTTCAATGACTGCAACGATATTCCAGCACCCCCAACCTCAACACGGCACTGCGAGGTAGTCTCGGACCGCACCAACCAGCCGCGGAAGAGGCCCCAGCGTGTGCAGTGGTAGAGCGCAGACAGGACCTGCAAACCAGCCCCAACGAGGCATGTCACTGTCTCGTCCGAAGGATCAGAATTTACGCCACGGGTTGCCGCAAGGAGTGCTGTGACACGCTTTGGTTTGAAGCCGATCCGAACCTCACATCCTGAAAAAGGAAATTCCAAAGCGCGGGCACTGTGCCTGCTCATCACAAGCCACCATCGTCCGAGCAACTTTGATCGCGGCGACCTGAGTTGATCCACGCTTCTGGCTCTCAGCATAGTCTTCACTCTCCAGTTTAGCAGTTTAGCACTTAGGACGTTGGGAGGCTAAGTGACGGCAAGATCGGGCTTCGCCAGGCCAAAAGTTGCCAAAATGCTGTCCACTGTCAACAGAAGAGTCATCTCCAGTTTGGCCTTCGTGCCTGTCTCGGCCGGCGGCTCGCAGAGCATGCGCAGCCTTTCAGTGTCCTCCAAAGCGCGGCCTTGAAACATGAGCTTTTGGCAGATGGGATGGAACTGGATCTCATCGGACGTGGCCATGTCGGCAATGGCCCGTTTCAGGTCGCGCACCAAGGAGTCCGAGTCGAGAGAAAGCTCCAACACTTCGCCAGAAATCTTCGCGCAGGCCACATCTATTCCGAAGACGTCCATGGCAACACCTGGAAAGGCTCGCCCCAGCTGCTACCAGCCTCTGGGATGCTAGCTGCGGCCTGTCACAAGCAGCCATATTGGCATGGTGGCACGCGCCGATCAGTATCACAAAACCAATGCCACCCGCACCGGCATGGGGTGCTGCGTAATTGGTACAAGGTGGGGACATAGTGCCTTCAATCATCAGCTGTGTGGAGCTCGTTTTTTCTCCATCTAACACCGATACTGCCTGATCCTATGCGGAGACAGAAACCGTTAACGAGAAGATGCTCCAAATTAGAGCGCTCTTCTAACTGCAGTGCGGCATCTGTCTGAATCTTGCGAATCGCAGTGCTCAGAAGCCACAGCTGCAGTTGCTCCATTAGCTTTCAAGGGATGCCACGACAAGACTGCGGCTTTTCGGATTCGGTGGCGGGGGCCCTCGACTGGGCGTCATACTTGAAGTAATATGTTGAATACCTTCAAGAGTTCAATCAGCCGAGAACCACCCGCAACCGGAGGCCGCCTGCTGTCCAGCTCTATGTACATAAACCCATCGGTGATTGCCCTCTCACACAGGCAGTGATGGTTTTTTCAAACTTCAGCTATCATCAAGGTCTGCCTCCTGCAGGCACGAGATCCCGCGAGCCGTGAAGCAGCAGGTATGGCACTGGCAGGACGGGGCTTTCCGTCCTCCTCTTCCTGCTTCTTCTTTTTCTTTTGGCGCTGCGGCAGGATCAACTCCTCGCACAGGTGAGGTAACGGTGGAGGCTTGGTGTCTTGCTGCAACTGACTCTCGGCTCCAATCGGGCCCTGCCCTTGAGCGACGGTCCCTACCGGTTGAAGTGGCCAGTTGAGATGATTGAGATGCTGCGCTTGTGCAATGTAAACCAAAATGCACAGCTCCAGAAAGACAACGACTCTCACAAACTCGCAGAAGAGACTGCACATACCGTTACTTGCTCGAGGACTGGCAAGCAGAACTCCGAGTCCTGATTTTCTGTCATGTAGTCCTGCAACTGAGAGGGCATGCTGCGAGCATCCCCACCGCGAGTGCAATCTTGTCCGGTGGCGAAAGCGCGAGGCAGCCCTTTTTGCTCTGAAGCCCTGTTCTGACCAGTAGTGCAATGCCCTTCTTGTGGCAGCCGCCATGTTGGACTCAAGGAGTGATCATGTTCAGACAAGTGGATACCGGATATGCCGGCTGCCGACAGGGTGACTTTTGCAGGCTCAGGAAAGAGGACGAGAGGTGCCGGGCGTGCGTCCTGTCCACAAACGCAGATCCAGCTACATGTTGCGGCATTGGAGTTGAAGAGCTGCAACGGACCCGGACCCGCATTTTTTTGTCTGCGGTGCGGCTCGGCAAGGCGTCTGTACAACGGTGCCTCGGACTCTGAGCCGAACCTGGATTGCCTTCAATGCAATGATTCGAACTCAGAACTCGGCCGCAAATCGCTGGGACGCAATCCACTAAGCATCTACTGGATCATGGGAATGGCAGCCACTGCACCGGCGCACGTTGGTCTTGCTGAGTTGCTTGAGAAGCCTGCGTGCCGATGATGCAGGTCAGGCGGGGGGGGGGGTTGTCGACTACTGTCAGTGATCTGTGGTCACCAATCATGCCTCGAAATAGCAGAGAAGCGCACCTTCATCCCAGCAGCCATTTCAGGCCGGAGATCCAGTACTTGTGCCTTGGATATATCTCTGCATCTACTCGGCTCGTGGCTTCTACTACAGCATAAGAAGGGACACAGCCACGGCATACTACTAGTACCAAACAGCTACCATCACCGGAACTGCCTCTGCCAACACTACACCGCCACCACCTATGAGTGGCTTCGGGAGCTGCGCACCAAGCAACTGCTGCCAGTACTCGGCCACGAGCTCCTGCTCCCATGCATCATGCAGTCACGCGTTTGCTCCTATGGCACCCACACATCACAAATCACTATGAGTGATGGTGGGTGGCATGGGTACTCGTAGCCCGCTCCTGCAAAACCGCTTGGGCATCTTTCTCATGTCCGGCACCCAGCGCATCTGCAAATCTGAACCTTGTCGACTGCAGTTCAAGCAGCAAAAAGCTGCAAATCCTGTCTACAGGCTCGGCTTAATTGGTATACTGCCCAACTACCTGAGAACTCATGGCAACTCACACTTCAGGTTTCACTCGAGCCGCTCATATCCCGGAGAGAGTCCAAACATCCGTCACGTTGGGCCGCGGTGCAACTTCTGCTGGATCTCGTCGGCGATCTGGCCATTCTGCAACTTCTCGTACAGGACACGAAGGCGGGCATCAACAAGGGCCTTCAAGGGCCTTAAGCTGCAAAAGGTTGACTGTCACTTCTGTTTGGGGACGGGGACGAGCCGATGCAATTCTATGGCAGCAGCTCGTGAAGAAACAGAGTTGGCTGTGAGTGTCTTGCATGTCAGCAGCCTTACTATTGCACACCATAGAGTGTGGTCTGCCACTACTGCCACTACTTAGTCATGCCCCTATTAACGGTTAAGAAGCCCAGACAGACTCAAAACCCCCCAAAACGGACCTATTGCATTGAAATGGGCTTGTTTTGGTGGTTTTCCTGGCTCCAGCCATCATGGAAAGCTCAAAACTCCAAAAGAAGACGCCTCATGGCAACACCCAAAACCCCCCCCAAAAGGACCTATTTCATTGAAATAGGCTTGTTTTGGTGGTTTTCCTGGCTCCAGCCATCTTGGAAAGCTCAAAACTCCAAAAGAAGCCCAGACAGACTCAAGACCCCCAAAAAGGACCTGTTTCAATGAATTAGTCCTGTTTTTCGGTGGTATTTAACGTAGCGCTGGGTCTTTTGCAATAGCTTTCGGAGGGCAGCGTACGATGCGAACGAAATAAGAGTCAGGTCGGCAGCTTAATTTCAAGTCAGGTCGGGTCGTTAATTCCACTATTTTCGGGTGACCTCGGGTGACCTCGCTATAAATTGGCCAGATTAACCACAATGATAACTCGGACCTCGGGCCTTGCAAGGGCACCCTTGTAACAATGCGCGGGTCATGCATGCAATATCATAGAACGGTATGCACGTTTGCAGGGTGTGGCCTTGCTTTTCGCTTGACAGAGTCGTAGTTTGATGGATGCGAACTACAAAAAATCCGGGCAACGGCATTAGACCCCAAACCTTCCGGGGGGTGGTTATGTCATGGGTGCTCACTGGTGTGGGAAGGCGCCTGTGGCCTCGTCCACCCAAGCATCCTAAGTTTATAGTTGAAAAGTCGTCTTGGTGTCCCAGCGCCTAGCTCTGCCTAGGCTCCAATACTTCAATACGTGTTTTTGGCTGCACGCACGTCTCGGGCACGTACAAGGTGTAGGGTGAAAGGCTTGTTTAGGGACTCAAGTTGGCCTGCCGATCTGGCCGTCGTCGAGCAGCAGCATCAAGCGCCGGCCGCAGAGCGCTCAGGTCCTCTGGCATGTTCACAGGAGACGAGAACAGAACTGCTCCAATTGCACCCTCCACCACTGAGACTGTCGAAACTCATGTCACAGACGCAGCCCGTTTCGACATGTTTCGGTCCTGCATTGGCGTCCCTCTTCCACGACCTCGTGCCAGCGTCACAAACGCAAGGTCATCCGGCTGCTGCTATAGCATTCTCACGATCCACCACATCTCTCAAACTCAAGCTTAGATGCTTTATCACAGTATTCTCGTCAGGCGATACACGCACATGAGGCACCGGCGGAGCTGGCAATCTTTGCACCGATTGCTGGGCAGGGCCGCCTCACAGTCAGAACGCAGAATCGTTGCAGCACAAGTCGGACCGGACGTGTCCCCGCCTTGTTCGGGCAATCCAGACATTGTCCACGGCCACCAGCATTTGGAACACCCCACACCCTTCCGGTGCTGTCGCGAGATTCCTCAGCACAAATTCGTAGAGCGCAACAAGCGGTTTCTGTCTCCTGCTGCCCCGGAAATGCAGACCGGATTCGTACGATGCAACGGCGGTTGCCGGCACGATGGTTGGTGCGGGAACGGGTCTGCTGACCTGGGTGCTGGTGGCCTCAGGGCACACTGCTGGAATTACAAGCTGAGCGTTTCGGGTTTCTTATTTGGCGCTCTGGCTGTCTCAACTGCAGGAACTGCTGGCTTGCGAGAGGCTCGACTGGGTGCATATCACAGCAGTGCGGTGGTAGCCTCTATGCATTTTCAACCGCATCCAAGCGAAAGAGTATTCAAGGTGCCTTGGATGACAGCTTACCACGCCGATGCACGAGCTGCAGGTCAATTTGCAAGCCTTTGGAGACATGCCGGACATGTTCTCCAGACATTCCGGCGTGGTGGTGACGACGGCGAGTATTTTTTCTGCGATTTTTTGTTACGAATGAACCCGAATGGCAAGAACGCCTCTTCCGGGCGTTTCACGCAGCCCATGCAGGCATTCAAAGTTATGCTGTGAATGTAGCAACTTTCTATGCTAAGCCTGCAGTTCGAACCTGCTGCTGGCCCTTTGTCGTTCATCCTGGTCGCCTTTCATCTCACGAAGCCTCGCCATCTTGGCTGGGCACTGCCCCTGGATTCGCATGGACCCAGATCATGTGAAGTGATAAAATCTTCCGCCAAGACACCTGCAGCTCAAACGACCTGGGCTATAGCAGGGAGACGGTGCAGAGGTACAAGTCGTGCGTCCTGAACCCAATCTATATTCATCATGAAGAAATTCGACCGAGCATCTGGTCGGGCACCGGGGGGACCGCTGGGACGGCTGGCAAGCAGTAGCCTGCAGCGACCAGTGCAATTCCACACCAGCACCCCATGGCAGCAGGACTGGCCTTGAGCTGCGAAATCGCGGTCGGGCCAGCTTTTGAGCTGGGCCATCTGGCCTGTGGTGACTGCTTGAGTCTGTGACTGGGCGTGCTCGTCCCAACCAAAGTACGCCATCCTGGGATGACATGGCAACGCAAGGCTGCAGGATTTCGTCCTAGCATAGATCACTCCCTACCCACGCCGCAGCCATCCGCAGCCCGAACAGCCCGAACTGAAGCTGAAGTCCAGCGTCCGACGTCCGAGCGGAGTCACTGGCATCGAAGCAAGCTGCATGGCTCCAAGAAGATTCTCAGACTTCGACTCTGCCAAAGAGCATCGATGTCGCTTTCAGAGCTCACCGGGTATGGAGATGTGGTCTTTTCGATGAGTGGCTAACCGTAGGAAGATGGACTCTGCCAACCTTGAGCGCTGCCATCTCGTCATTGCATCAGGCACATTAATGTCGAAGACTTTGCCTGGCGACCCTAATCCCTAATGGTCCTTAAAGCCTCCCCTGGAGTTGGCACTGCAACGAGCAGGTTCCCGTCCTTGGGAGAAGCGCATCGGCCGCCATGGGTCCACAGACCCCATGCGTCCAAGCCTGGAAGCCAGGCTTTCTGGCACAACGGACTTGGACATGAAGGGCCCCTGCATGCGGGCACAAAGCTGTTTTGGCGCCACCTGATACGATGACTCTTTCTCCAAACTTCGGAGCGCTTCTGGGCTCCCCGTAAACGGGGCGAACATGGCGAGCTGCAGCCATCAGCCGATACTCCCTCCCTTGGTGTGACCCTGGAATTTGGTCGCGCTTGGTTCGCCGTGTTCGCCGGTGAGCTACTCTCCACTTCGGTTAGATTCACTTATCAGTCGTAGATGTGCATGTAACACCACGCACTAGACTTCTACAGCTAAGCTTGCCATATTCAATCGGCACAACAACCCCCTGAGAAACCAAACTATCGAAGCCTGCAATGCATAAAAATTTGTCAGGCCCATAGCTCATAACTATCTCACATGAGACCGGGCAATCGACTTACATTACCACCACGTGGACATTCGGCACTTGCCAGTGGCACTCGCTTTGGCGATGAAGCGCCTCCCACGTCGCACTCATAGAGTCGGCAGTGGACGCCTGTCTGCCGTACTTCACTCATCCGATTTAATCCTAAGCCTGAGCGCCTAAGCGAAGCGGATTTCATCATAGAGTATCACAGCAAGCAACACAAGACCAGTGGAGGGCTCGTTGCAAGACGTTGCTTGGTGCTACTGCCACCCGCGTGCCTCAGCGACGTCTGGAGTCATTGCGTGCACGCGAGTCACGACCGCGACCGCGTCCGCCTCCGCCCCCGCCTCCACCTCCGCCTCCGCCCCTGGGCCAGCATAAACCATTGTTGGTGTCAGGAATTCAGCTTCAGCCTGACTGTGCCTGTAGGAGGGCGACCGGCGCGGGGGCGATCGATTTCGAGACCGCGACCTGAAGAAACCGAATTGCCGCTGGGACATCCCGGTCTGGCGACTTGTTGCTCTGAGGCCGGGGCGGAGAGCGTCGACGCGAGTCAGAGCCTAAACATGTGCACAAGCTTCGTTTGGCAGACACCTAAACAGAAACCAAATCTGCAATGTTTGCAAGCTTGCTACGGTTTCTGTACATGCAGCTGCTGCTTCAAGCCAGTAGCGCTGTTTGATGATGATAACGTAAACAAGGAGAAAAAGTTTGTACTTGCTGGTGCTGTTTGCGGGAGCTGCTTTACCGTACAAGCCTTACACGCTGTCACAAGACATCGCAAAATCCGCCGACCCTGCTTGTGGGGCGAGCGCCGCTAATAGGAGTAGGACTAGTAGTAGTAGTAGTAGTAGTAGTAGTAGTAGCAGTAGTAGCAATTGCAGTAGCAGTTGCAGTAGTAGTAGTAGTAGTAGTAGTCGTCGTCGTCGTCGTAGTAGTCGTAGTAGTAGTAGTAGTAGTAGTAGTAGTAGAGTAGCAGGAGGAAGAAGTAGTAGTAGTAGTAGTAGTAGCAGCAGTAGTAGTTGCACACCAAAATCCCCCAAACACGAGCGTCAACCTCATGAGTCCAGCAACGATATAACACAAAAGTGCCAAAAGCGGTCGAAAGTGATCGTCCCCACCAAATACTCCTGGAGGTCGCGGAGAATTTGGGAATAATGAAGGCTTTGCGGCTACAGCTTGGGGTTTCAGATCCGTGTCGATTAGCTTTGTGGGTCGCGCTGTGTTACGCTTTGATTGAACTATTACCACTTCTTCCAGCGTCGTTAAGCCTTCTATGTTCGCCAAGTTGTTGAGCACAACTTAAGGGCTTCGGGCAGGCTTCAGGGTACCTCCGGGTCCTGGCTTTAGATTGGGTTCGCGGCTTAAGGAGCTGGCGAGTTAAGGGTCTGAGGGCTTGGACATTCCAGGTCACACCTCTTATATGTATGTATGTATGCATGCATGCATGTATGTATGGATAGATAGGTAGAGGTAGGTAGGTAGGTAGGTAGGTAGGTAGGTAGGCAGGTAGGTAGGTAGGGTCGGTAAGTCGGTAGGTCGGTCGGTCGGTAGGTTGGTGGGTAGGTCGGTAGGTAGGTAGGTAGGTAGGTAGGTAGGTAGGTAGGTCGGTAGGTAGGTAGGAAGGTAGGTAGGTAGGTAGGTAGGTAGCGGTAGGTAGGCAGGCAGCGG